TTTTTTTTGACAATAACTCCGAGCTTTGACTTTCTTGTCAACAAACATCAGTATATTTGCGAAAAGTCGCCTAAATCACATTGTCGTCAAGTAATACCTCTGTGCTATTAGATTTACTACCGCTGTCTAGCTCTTGTCTAACCAAACATCTAATCGGTGTCCAGGAGTATTCATAGAATAATCCCAAGTGAGGATGAGAGTATACCAAAGCAGTTTTTAGTATTTCTAATTTCTATAAGGAGGGGCGTTGGCAGACATAAGTCCCTCAGCCACGCCCTATTCACTCACTACACACGCCATGAGAGCACTGCGAGCGCTCGTCGCCCTTCTACTAGCATTCTTCACCACCACACAAGCCTTCATGATCGGTAAGAATTCTATGGCTAGAAAATTTCTAGAAGTTTAATATCGTCAATTTCAGATAGTGACGAATACAACGGATTGATCGACTATCCGCTCCCGAAAAGAAGCTTCGACCAAGTCTGGCGCAATATTCAGATGCAAATGCCTGGAGCACAAAAGAGAACCGAATCGTTGTCGAGAGCCAGAGCCAATGCCTACTATAGACTCGGCTAGAAAACAGTTTGTACTGTTTTTACAGTATTTTCCGAAAACTCTGGATTATTCAAATACGAGGATCTTTTCCGTATATGGAAGAGTTGTGCTAAAGTTATATAAATTGTTCTTATCATTTTTGTAGCTCACATCGAAAATCTAGCATTCAAAATTTCTCTGCTTAATCAGATGTTTTGTCATCAGTGCTTAATCAGATTTTTGTCATTGTTTAAATCTTTTTTTATTTCATGCATCATGATATATTCGTCCTTCAATGGTCAAATAAATGTAAAAGCTATCAAATTGTAAAGATGTAATACTTTTGCAGGAAAAATTAAGTCCATTATGTTGTTTATAATTCAATCTTGTGATGAAATAACACACAAGGGTAGCGAGATTTTTCCTCAATAATTGGACTTTTTTTGTTAAGTCAGATGACAAGTGGGATTTAGGCATATAAAGTATGATTATGTGTCCCTTCGTGCCACCATTACCTCTTCACTTTGATGAGTGACAAGCAATTTTCATTTTTCATCAAGGACTAATCCACCTGTGCTCTGAAAAAGTTTGTTAGAAATTGGCCCAATTATACCTTTCGCGCCCCTCCCCAGATATTTTCGATTAAGTCATCGCTTCCCTCTTCTAAGGAGTTTATGCGTGTCTCAAGAGTATTTCACAACTAATCTTTGTTACCCAACGTCACCTCTTCATAAAAGCACATATTTGCACCTGTGTGAATCGTGAAAAAATTCCCATCAATAATTAATTGAGAGGTTAACAGAAAATTCATTTACTCACGAACCTGATGTAGATCGAAGGGCCTTTCATTTATGAACAATCGCTTCATTTCTCCGGAAAACGGTGTTGTGAAAGAGTGGAGTTTTTCTGGCAGCAAATTTGGATGAACTCCTCCCAAGAAAACAGAATCGTTGCCAAGCATAAGATGTCTGTCACCATGCTGCAAAATATTATGAGAAAGCTGTTCGAGAACATTCCAATGATTTATAGCCTAACGACACGGAGATAGCAGTGAGAAATTGAAAGCAAGTGTAGATGTAGATCATTTACAACAGAAATCCTCAGCAAAAAAAGCTTCTATGATCTCATTTGGATTTCGTACAGAATTTTGTTCTAAGCAAAACCATCGCTGGGATATGCATTCAAGAAATGTGAAAGTTGGAGTCATAACGCCTACTCTTTATACCTATATAAAAATTTTGAAAAAAAAAACAACGATCTGCTTTCAGTTAGGACCGCCATTCAGTAGTTAATGGGCACATTAAAATCACAGTTGACAGTGCAGCTTCAATAACGTTTCTCTTTTGTTTATAATAAGAAATATAAGAATCAACAGGAAAGACATGAAGACTTTTTATCTTCTATAGAATGCTCAGGAAGAAAAACCTAAAATCAAGTAGACTTCGCACAAAAATTGTTTTTGTGATTTCAAGTTTAGAATAATTTTATGATGTTAACAATTGCTGTGACTCTGATGAATGTTTACCTTGAATGATTTTGTGATGGCCAAGCTCCCATTTATGTAGACGTTTGCATTCGAAGGTGTCACATCCACTTTGACTGCCGTCCAGTACCGAGATGAAATGGGCTTTCCACTTAAATAGCGAATTTTTTTGCAAGCAATGATTTAGTTTCGGAATAATACGCCCATTATTCAACAAACTACCCTGTATTTATCATCGTTCCCTTCAAATTTTTCTGCAGAAAGAAATATCTCCATAAATTACCCAAAAAAGATGGAGACTAATTCCGAATGCTCTTAGGCAAGTACTCTGGCCTGCACACCTTAATTGCACCATTCCTGAGCCGAGGTCGAGAAATAGATGAGGCTGTTGGTTCGTGAGCACCAAAGCCATGTAAGTGGCACATTTCTTTCGCTTTGTTGAAGAGCACCATGTGAAGATTGATCCTGCAAGAAAAGAATACTGAGAGTTGAAGTGATTAGTTGACGGTCCAAGCTAGATCACGAAAAAAAATAGAAGCATTTTGTAGTCAAAGCTTGCCATTCTCTGCCGATGTCCGAAAACTGAGCGCGACTTGTAGCTTCGATCTAACCTCAACATTCACGTTTGTGAGCTCAATGTAGCTACCATTTTCCAACGTTACAGGGGAGTTGTAAAGATCTCGTAGTCCTGAATGATAGCAATGTCAAATCAAAAAGAAACTCCTTAGACATAGTTGAGCTAAACTCTGGCCTTCTCCGCATTAACCCTCGTTCGATAATAAGAAAAAGACAAGTTTTATACTATGAGATACCAAAATTTTGTTTGCTAAAAAAGTCATATCTAAAAACAGA